TTAGCAGTAGAAATATGGAAAATGTATTTCCAGGGAATTGCAATCGGGGAAACTAGGAAAGAGGACACAGGGACACTATGATCAGAGCTAGGGATGAGTTGGACTAGCCATTACAGAGTTGGAATAAGCTGACCATACCATCAAGTAGAAAAGTGGTGCACAGAATGCAGTGTTCTAGCCCTCAATCAGGTGCACAGGAGCACAGTGCTGCACACCGAGAGTTTTCTGTAGGTCAGTGACAGCTGTGGTCCAGCACTAAGCCCAGGAGCAACACTGATGTGACTTCATTGCACTTCCTGTCAGTTCCAAGGCTTGGGCAGAGCTGATATAACTTTGTCTTGCCTATCCTGCAGAAATAGATCACTACCGCAGTGATTTATTGCGGGCTGCGTTGTTGCTGCAAAGGGGGACTTGATCATGTCCCCCATGATGAAATAAAATGTTAAAAAAACAGACGGGTGTGAATGGGCCCAAAGCTATTATGCACCCCTGGACATGAATGGGAACACAATTGAGGCCCCTTATATTTACTCAATTGAATATTACTTATTCAGAGCAATGGCCTCCCTGATTTGATACAAAATGAACAGATTGTTTAGGTGTGTCCTCATATTGCAGAGTTTTGTTAAATGGTGGGCATACATGTTACAATCTGAATGTACAATTCCCTTTAAGTTTACCAAAACTATGTAATATGAGGCACAAACAACTGATTGCCTTTGTATCAAATGCACAGGCCCTTAAGCTGGTCATACACTCAAGCTGAATGAGAGAAATCTTTCAATTCCCCCATCCCCTGCTGGCTACTGAATTTTGACAGCCGCCCGTCACCCTAAACTGCCCGAATAGAGACAATTTTTCATCTGGCTCCCCTAACAAAAGTTGAAAAATCAACTTTTTACGAGCTGGGCCATACACTATACTACCTGAGTGTACGATATCCTTTAGATCTACCATCAACTATGTAGTTACAAGGGTCTGTCGGATATGATACAAATACAATGCATTGTTTATAGGTGTCCTTATATTACAGACTTTTGGTAAATCAAAGAAAATTGTACAATCAGGTTGTTTGGTGTATGGAGATGTGTAGAGCAGGGGTCCTCAAACTACGGCCCGCAGGCCAGATCCAGCCCGGCGCCGTGCGTGAGCGGGAAATACAGCCAATTTAAAAACAGGTACCGATGCCTGTTAACATACAAGCAATCCGCCGGCTATGGAGCCGGCGGATCGCTTGTATGGGCGGTCGGCCTGTGTCCCCCCCCTCCCTCCGCGGCCCCTCCTCCCGTTGTCACGCTGATCTCGGGCTCCGGTGCGAGCCCGGGACCAACATAGTGCCTCTCTGACATGAGATCAGAGGGAGGTCGGTACACGATTTCCCTCCGATCCCCTCTCCGTTGTCAGAATGCGGAAGTGGTGTATATTACATCACTTCCGCATTCTTGTGTCACTCTCCAGCTGTAGACGCTGGAGAGAAGTTGATGAAGCAGACCTCCACTTCATCAGCTTCTTCGGGGGTCCTAGGTGACATTTGTTTCCCAAAAAATGTTTTAAAGTTACACATAAAAAAGAATTAAAAAAACAAATATTTTTTTTAAAGTCCCCACCCATACATACACGCATGCAAACATGCGCCAGGTGCACATACCTGCGAAAACGACGTGTTACATATCGCAGCGAACTTCGCAGTGAGAGCAATAATTTTAGGGTCATCAATCACTGATAACACAAAACTGATGAGCGGTAAAAGCTTTTAAAGCGTCTCCCCCCCCCATTTTTCAAACTATGATCTGGCCCCCAGCAATGTCTGAGGGACAGTGAACTGGCCCCATGTTTAAAAAGTTTGAGGACCCCTGGTGTAGAGTATAGTCATTGTAAAGAAGAATATAGAGAAATTGTACAATCAGATAGACATTGTAAAGAAGTATGTATGGTGATTGTACAATCAGATTGTATTGTGTATAGCCAGATTTACAGATAATGCTGAGAAGTCAGAGCCATTTCCCGTTATATTGGGGTAGAAAATGGTAAAACATAAAAGATGAAAAGTTCAAACTAGAGTGCAGGTAGTTTATTTGCAGTCTCTTATTCTGAATGCAATCTTTTGAAGTCAGCGAACACAATGTTAGTTTCCATATGTAATTGGAAAATACAGAGATAAATAACTAAGTACCAAATAAATCCATGCATTCAAAGATATTAGTGTGGACTTATATAGAAATAGCTAAAAGCCAGGGAACACTCGCAGGAAGGCGGGGGGGAGGAAATCAAACACTAATACACCTAACCAAAACAACAAAGGCCGTCCACAGGAAATAAAGAATTACTTCACCCGCTCTCATTCATCACTTCCGCTTGCCTTTTGCCAGCGGATCTTTACAACATTGTCGACCTCTTCTTGCGCAACCACGCTGCGCCGGTTGCTGGGCAACTCTCCGAAATAACTTTATTGAAAAACAATGGCGTACACAAAGTAAACTGAGAATGCACCGGTGTCTGAGGGAACTGACGTCACTGAAGCGGAAAAAAGGCTGAGCGCTGATTGGCTCCGTCGAGTGCAGTGTGTGTATGGTTCAGGCGGTGGGGTGCTCGGAGTGTGCGGGCAGCAGAAGCAGCTCGAGGCTCAGTACTGGTAGGAGCAATTCAATGTCGTATACTGTACTGCTGCCAGTCAGCTGATATCTCACTGCATGATGTGTCAGCTAGGGGTTGTAGATCTCACGGGGGGCTACACGTTTGTGTATTATTGGGTCATAGCCAGTGAGGTTATTTAGTATTAAAGGTTTGTCAGTGTATGCTTTGCCTCAATCTAGTAAAGTTTATCTATTTTGATTTTTCTGCTTCACTGACATATTATATAACACTTCAAGGTACCTTGAGGGGAATTTATTAAAACTGGAGCAGCTGTGCGTAGTAACCAATCAGCTTCTCTCTTCTGTTTGTTCAGTTAAGCTCTGAAAATTAAAGAGAGAAGCTGATTGGCTGCCATTGGCAACTGCTCCAGATCTAGGGTCACCATGCATGTTACAATCTTTCTATAATCCATATTAGATTTACCAAAGCTATGTAATATCAGCACCTGCCTAATCTAACCAATCAATTTGTATGTATCCTATCAGGTGGGCCTATGCACTGCCTAGTTTTTGCTAGATTGTACAATCAGATTGTAATGTGCGTGTGGTGAGCTTTGGTAACGTCACCCCCTTTTGGGCATGGACCTTGGAAAGTGCAATGTGACAATAGGGTTCTTGTGATCTCTGTGAATAATGCGCTTGACCGTACCCACAGAGAGAGTTCTGGTTGATGCCAAAGGCAGAACATAGAGACGTTTTGCTGCATTTTTTAATTATAAGCAAAAATTGTTTGAATATAAGAGTCATGTGTATTCTTACTTGAATATCGGTGCGTTTTGTATGTTTCTTCCTCATCCGTACAATAATCCAGTGTGTAGTTTCTGCAGGTAGCTTGTAGTGGGAGGAGCCTGCTGGCCCCTCCCACAGCTCTGCTCTCTGCATAGTCCATGCAGCACAGTGATGATCTCAGCAAGGCAATAACCAGGTTTGTAAAGGCGTTTGGTGCACACCGAGTGCAGTTTTTATCCTTTGTGGCTATTGAGGAATATATTTAAATACATATTTTTCTGCCCAGAGTTCAACTTTAATGGAGTCTGTGCATTGCTTGTAGCTTTAGTTTTAAATCAATTGAAACACATTCTGTTGAAAACCTAGATTTGATGCACATTGAATTGTATCTAAACCCAAAACAAAAGTGACAGCTGACCAGCTCTTTTATGGATTCGATGGCAGCTTTATCCGTGTTATCTTTTTTCTTAGGCTTTTTACTTTCCTCTGGTGACCCTGCAAATAACACAATTCCCTTCGTGTCTGCACTCACTTCTCCATTGTATCTATGGAGGAAGTCATGGTTGTCACACACGCTGGACTTCAAATGTGTCTGTCTTGGTTCATCTCTATTACTTGGTAGCTTTACAATAAAGAGATGTTGTGCTTGCTTTTCAGCTTAGAGGAAGTGACAAGGGCAATGCATGGCAAGAGGTGTTTTCTGTACTTGCTGAAAGTGTTCTTGGCCTGAAAAAGAGAAACGTATGTACCCACACTTGGGGCTTGTTCGCACCATGTCCAGACCAGAACAGTTAGCTCCTGGACCAAAAACGCATCCCAATGTATCCCTATTTGATTTCTGGGCTACAGTTCACACCTTTTGCAGCACTTTCCGTTCCAGACCAAAAAAATACTGCAAATACCTATTTTTTTTTGTCTGGTCCAGAATGAGCAAAACGCTTCAAAAACATACGGAAGGCATTGGACTGTACCTAAAAAGCCCATTTTAAGCCTAGGAACAAAAATCGTGGTAAAAACACGACAAAATGCCCTGCACTGCGTTTGCGGCTCTGCTCCGGACATGGTGTGAACAATAGCCTCAAAGCTGAACTCCAGGCAAACGGCTGCAATTGAAAAGGATTTGCATTTCTGTCCATCCAGTCCTGAGATTTATACAGTTTTGACACACAGCGCAGCCCTCCATGACGGGAGGGGACCTGATTTTTCTCTGCAGCAGTTAAGCACCACTAAACAGGTCTTGTTTCACCAAGGTTCTGTTCACACCAAGACGTTTTGACACTCAAATCTAAGCGCAACAAAACACTCAAGGCAAGGAATCTCATTCATTTCTATGGCCCCTGTTCACACGTGAGCGTTCTGTCGCAAGTTGGAAAACGCTGGAAAAAGTACATGAGGTTTTTTGGGCAGATTACAGTGTATTTGGCCCCATAGACTTCAATGGAAATGTGCAACGCAAGGGTTTTGCACAAGTTTGTCTATTGACCGTAATACCTTTCAATCTGCCCGCTAAAATGCACGTCTTCATGCGCACGCATCTAATGCGCGAACAAATGTGCTAAACATGCCAGACAAAAATATCGCTGTATGTGAAAACGCTGACCCCTAGGTGTGAATGGAGCCTCAATGTTGCTCAAAGCTAAGCGCAAGATAAGGAATCCCATTCATTTTTCTGGCCCTTGTTCACATCTGAGCGTTTTCTCACACAGAAGTTTTGATATCTATGGGACCAAAAAAGCTCATGAACTTTTTCCAGTGACAGTGATTTTTCTGCTTGAGACCAGAAAAAATGCTCGGATGTGAACAGGGGCCGTAGAAATGAAAGGGATTCCTTGTCTTGAGCCTTTTGTTGCACTTCATTTTAAGCAATAAAATACCCAGGTGTGAACTGCTGCACAACTGGTTGGCTCCTTGTGCGGCCTCTCTCCCACTTTCTTGCTTTTGCTGTACGGGGACCGTGAGAAGCCTATTTCAAGTCACATTCAGCTGCTTACCCTGCTTGGATAAATACAAATACAATTAAAGGGTTAATAAACCCTCAGCGTGTTTTTGCATATATCTATGGCTAGCAAGCAGTAGATATATGCAAAAACTTAAAAAACAAAACCTTTTTGAAACAGGTTTAAAGGAGAACTATGGGGTCAGTGTTTTTCCCCATAGTTCTCCTTAGGGTAACGGGAGGACACAAACTAGCGTCCTCCCGTCACCCTAAGCTCAGTATACCGCAAGCTACAGCTCGCGGTATACTGAGACGCCGGAGCGGATCCCGACGTAGATGACGGGATCCGCCCAGCTGCGTGAGTGACAGCTGGATCTGCCTATCTAGAGGCAGAGCCAGCTGTACCCGCCCCCTCCCCCGTCCGTTCCGCCAGTCAGTGCTGGCAGATCGGAGAGGGGAATCCAGCCCTCCCCCTGTCACGGCAGAGAGCCGTGACAGGATCGAGAGGTGAGCGAACCTGGTATGTGTGCGCTCACCTCCCGATCTACTGAGCCGACCTGTGACAGTCTCATTGTCACAGGTCGGCTAGAACTATGAGGTGAGTGGAAATCACTCACCTCATAGTTCTCCTTTAAACTTACCTGTGTCTTCGCCGCGCGCTCCAGTCTGAACATCTGAACAGTCTCGGGTACCCGCAAAGGATCTTGGGGCGGCTCAGATGGTCGGCCGGGAGACAAGGAGAGACACAAGGTAAGTCCATGGAGCAGTGTGCACCCGCACAGACTCCGTGGGACATCAGAGATGAGGAGGACAGAGGAGTCGGCGCTGGATCAGAGACCCGCACCAGCGCTGGAGGGACAGCTAAAAACTACAGGAAAGAAGAAGATGATCGGTTTAAGAGACGTCATTTAAGGTAATAAAGATTGTCACCAGCACACCACAAATATTTACAGCAAAAAGTCCTTTAATGACCGATTGCCATTCAGTACGGGGGCGCCCCAGCACACAGTTGCCTGGACAACGGGCTGATGTTGTTTAGCCGTCAACGGCCGCGATGGTGAACGCGCTCTTTTTTTTTTCTCCACAAGCCTGCCGCATGTAAGTTCCATTTCCAACGGAGAAGGGTGGGAATTGCTCTGTCTGTGCTGTAATTGAGTGGGAGGGGTCTGCTTTTATTTTAATTTGCATGTCTATTTAAATGTTGATGGTGTGTTTTGACCATGTCATTCTGAGCCTGATGGAGTACTTTTGAGACCCCGAAAGCGCTTGTACTGAATGGCAATCTGTCATTAGAGGACTTTTTGCTGTAAATATCTGTGGTGTGCTGGTGACAATCTTTACTACTGCTATATTGTTCACGGTGCCGTCCGTGGTCGCTACAAGCACTCACCTGCTTCGCAGGTTTACTATTTTTCCGGTAAGGGGTGCAGCTGGTTTCCTACTATATTGGATCATTTAAGTTAAGTCCCTACACTAACATTGGGGGGAGGGGAAAAAAATATTCTTTAATGTCACTTTAAGGTTCGATTTAATGAATACAGATCTGCGTTCATGTCTTTTATGTATGCCTGGAGTTCAGCTGCAATATATTACATATTTGTTTTTGGATATCGTTGTGTAAACAATCCCCATGTATCTTGTTTCAGCCTCCTGTGATTTCCCCGGGGTTCAGATTTATCCCTCCACAATGCAAAAATAAATGAGGATTGGGAATCCCAGTTCAGTAATAGCACTACCTTCTCACTGTAATGATATCATTTGTAATATAAGCTATAAACAAAATAACGAATATCATGAGCAAACTGCCTAGCGCTATATTACATTTAAATATAGCGCTGGGCAGTTTGTTCATGATTATTTGAAAGAGAGATTACTACTCTTTGCACAGCAGCTGAATTATTTTTAGATAGTATTAGGCAGAGCGGATCATATAGATAAGTATATTAAAATAACGCATATAGCAATGTTTATTAAATATTCCTAAAGATCACCCTCCAGTCACCATGCTCCTCTTCACCATAATAAATTATGACAAAGCTTGTTCAGCTCATCCTTTTCTTCCCTTACTGCACTGCTGAGTACAAGCCAAGCAGACAAAGGTTGCTAGTAATATTCTTGGATATGTAGTACCCATAGGCTATTTGCTTATGGGTCATCTTCATTTGTGCTTTTTCTTTATTCTAGGACAACATGGCTCAAGTGACACTGCCTTCCATCAGGCCTCATTAAAGACCATCACAAAATAAAAAAATAAGAATTATCTTATCAGACGCAAACCACAAATGCCAGTTGCCAGTATGTATTTCCTAGACATAAGGTTGATGGAGTGCAGGCATCCAAGGTGGTGCGGAAAACCTTAATTGCAGCTGATGCCAATTACAGGCCTCATCTTTTTAAGTGGGAGAACTTGCACAATTGGTGGCTGACTAAATACTTTTTTGCCCCACTATAGATAGATAGATAGATAGATAGATTATATAGATTCTATCATCTATCTAGAGATGGGTATCTTTTAGTCCAGGGTTCTTTAAAGGAAGCTTTCCAAAAACACAAGCTGGCTGCCATTACTGACCTACAGAAAATGATGACTTGCATGCCAGTTGTTTGACCTAAAGATAACGGAACTGTGGGAGCTGTACCCAGAATAAAACAGGCAGGGCGCAAAGGACTAGTCGCCAGCATTGTGTTGTCTCCTTGCAGCACCATCCTTTCCCACATTACTAACGTATCATGCTTTGTTTTGCTCTTAAAGATTTTGAGAATGATGATCCAGGTATCCTAAATATTTGAATATTTGCTCATAACATGGTAAAGTAGCACATTCAATGGGTTTTGGTGTACTGACACTCCCCCTTCATCGGGGCTTGACAGTTTGGTTCATTTGAAAGAAAAGGACTCGGTTTGGGTTAGTCAATAGAAGTGGATGACGGCTGGTCAGAGACAGTGATTTAGCAGCTAATACAGGCAACTTAAATCAGCCATTACATTTCTGTTTCTGACCAGCTGTCATCTCGTCTTCATCTTCCATTGACTAACCCAAGCTGAGTCTTTTTATTTCCAATAAACCATACTCTCAAGTCCTGATGAGGGAGCGCCAGTGCCTGCGAAAGGCATTCGATGTTCTACATTACGCCATTATGAGTTAATAACAAAATATTTTGGATCATTGCTCTGGCACTCTCGTTAGACTTTTTACTTCTGGATCTCAGTCACTGGGCCCCTCGTCCTGTAGTACCCTGTGTTCTTGAGAACACAACTGCAGCCACTGGGTTCCATGAAAACTTGACAGATCACATAGAATCTTGTGACATTGAGAATGTTAATCCAACATTCCAATATACCTGTTCCTTGTTCCGTGCTGTCTCTGTGTGGAGGTGACCATCTTGGTAGAAGCAGGGTGTTACTTTCTCATGTCAAAGCCTCCAGCAAGGAGAACAATGAGCAACACAGTAGTGCTCACCCAATCGCACTCCAAATCTCCTGAGACTAGCTGTAAGAGGCAGGCAGGGCCTTTAGGTCTCGTTCACACCTAGGCGTATTGCATATGCGCGTCTGTCGCGCGTTTCCGAAGGCTACTTGGCGCAACAAAACGGCCCAAAGTAGTACCTGTACCTTTTCAGGCGTGGGCCGTTTTGTAGTGCGTTAGGGACGGGCGGAAATACGCCAAGGTGGGAACGAGACCATTGAATACAATGGGATTTATATTTTTGAGAGTTTTGTAGAGCGTTCGTAGAGCGTAGAACGCGCTACAAAACGTTCAGGTGTGAACAAAGGCTTAAAGTAATGTTAAACCCTCACATATTTTTTTACTAAATCAATGCTACAATATGTTTTCTTACTGTTATCCATGCTTGCTTCAGATCTCTGGGCGGCTGTTTATTTAAAATATTCAGCGTTCAGAATGCTGGGGGGAACTTCCGTTCTGCAAGTGCCTTCATCCTCCCTCTGTGTTCCTTGTAGTCGCTCCCTGTGCGCACTGCTGTACAGGACTACAGAATTACGTAAGAACGCAGCCTGTCTGACATGTACAGGACCGCCTATTTTTGATTGGCAGCAGCTCCAGTGTGCTGGTAATGTGTTGCTGTGATCGCCTGAGAATAGTTGTCAACTATTCTCATAATCGATTAGTTGGTTGGATCCTCTAGCTCTCCTCCATGCTGGGAGAAGGGCACAGCAATCCTTGGGCGGGTGCAATAGCCAGCCTGTTTTTGGCTATTGCAGTTTGAAAGGGCCAATAGCAGGCTGGCTCTTGCACCAGGCCACCACCTGCTGTATTTACATTCAGCTGCCGTCTGAGGAATCTTACCACTTGCAACTGTCATTTCCTGGCTGATGCTATTCAAGCGCTATGTCCTTACAATTATTAAAAACAAAATTATAAAGGTGGGAAAAGTCATTTTCGGTTTTGGCCTGACAAATTCTGTTGCAGGATGAGCGTTGGTGAATGAATCCCCCACAGTCTCCTTTGTTTTCTGACAGCGGCCCCTGGCTGCTGTCAGTATACCCGGGCTGCACATCAAAAAGGAGTAAATAATACTATGGTTATAGACGGATGTTGTGTGGAGGACAACATTGTGTTCTCAGAAGTGGCTCAGGTGTACACTTATAAGAGAAAGTTTACTACTTCTGAGCAACAAATCCAGAATGGGCATGCAAAAAAAAAGTCTAAAATGTCCGAGTTCTTTATATTTATGCTTGTTCCAAGCCAATGAGCTTTGATTACACCTGCAGTGGAGAAACTTGACAGCCATGGAACTAGCATTATCAGAGGTCATTTCTCAATAGGTTGTCTGTTAATAAAATGAAACTAACTCACACATTTCCCTTTTCTGTATGTTTGCAGCACCATGGATCCAGCTCTCTTAAGAGACAGAGAGCTCTTCAAAAAGAGAGCTTTGAGTACACCTGCAGTGGAAAAGCGTTCTTCTGCATCAACAGAGTCTTCAAAGAAGAAGAAAGCCAAAGGCGATGGTGGTGGGACATCTGTTTCTAAGCAGAGCTCAGGTTAGCAAGTCTGCTATCAGTTACCATAAAAAGTTTTTGTGGATTTATCATGAAACAGCACACTGCAAAAATCAGTAGGACATATATCAGAACTATCAAAAAACTTAATATTGTTAATTAAGTTGAAAAACATTATTATTATTATTTAATTTATTTTTTTGCTATTCATTAGAAGAAAAAAAAAATAGGTCCGAATTGTCCTCCGCTTGGACTTAGGTCATATAGCTTTTGGCTTCTAGAAGAGGAAGCTGCCCCCCATGTACATTTATAATTACCTTTAAATTAAAGTGATTTAATTGTATGTCTAGGTCCTCTCCCTTGGGTGTTTTAATAACCGGAGTTTGAGAAGCATTTAAAAAACTTCCTCAATGCTGTGCTTAAAGTGACGCTAAACTCAGGGGGTTAAATCTTAGCAATGTAGTCAAGTACCTTTTAATTATTAAAGGAGAACTATGGGGTTAAGGCTTTTCCCCATAGTTCTCCTTAGGGTAACGGGAGGACACAAACTAGCGTCCTCCCGTCACTCTAGGCTCAGTATACCTACTGAGACACCGCAGTATATCGCAAGCTACTGCTCGCGGTATACTGAGACGCCCCAGCTGAAGCGGATCCCGGCAATTGTGCTGGGATCCGCCCAGCTGCGTGACTGACAGCTGGCTCTGCCTCTCTAGAGGCAGAGCCAGCTGTACCCTCCCCCGTCCGTTCCGCCAGTCAGCGCTGGCGGAGCAGGGAGGGGGGGAATCCAGCCCCTCCCCTGTCACGGCAGAGAGCCATGACGGGATCGAGAGGTGAGCGAACGCCGGTATGTGTTCGCTCACCTCCCGATCTACTGAGCCGACCTGTGACAGTCTCATTGTCACAGGTCGGCTAGAACTAAGAGGTGAGTGAAAAGCACTCACCTCATAGCTCTCCTTTAACAAAAATGTATCTTATTTGTGTATCACTCGGCTGTAGCTCCCCAAATCATCTCTGAATTGGTGCTGACACAGTCCTTCCATCTGGAGGGTGGCTACTTTTGTTCCCCATGGTTCCTGTGTGTGTTGCAATGTAGCCACCACTCCAAACTCACTCCTGTGATGGACTGCAATCTCAATACAAATGAGTAAACTAAATGTGAGCGTGTTGTCCATCCCTGATAAACCCATGGGGCATTAAGTAAGCTCTGATGACAGCATGAATACCAAACACCCAGCTGAACTAGCTCTTCAAAACTACAATTTTTTTTTAAAGTGTACTAAATCAAAAACATATTGTGTTGTAGCATCTACATAATGCATGTTACAACAAAAGACGCTATATGTTAAGAAAAAACATAGTATTGTACCGGTGAAGGTAAAACCATTCCGTTTAATCCCTTTCATGCAGCATCCCGTGTCTTTTTCATTGCTATGTTCATCTGTCATGAATTTTCCAAATAGGCATCTAGAGACTGGCTGACAGTGCTTGAGCAATGCTTCTGTCTACCTCTTTCATGCTGCAACTTAAGTAGGCAGAGCGAATTTCTCTGCAACTGACTATGACAATTGTGGAACTCTTTTGGACAAGGCCCTGCTAGGTGGTTAGGAAGAGAGGGTGACACAGTTGAATAAGATGTCATGTCTGCCAGTGTCCTTTCTTTACGTGTATGTTATCCCAGAATTTAAATTTGAAATCATGCTTGCTTAGCCACCATTGACTATGCTGAGTCTGTTTTATTATCTTGTGGATTACAGTGCCTGTAATCTCACCTGGCGATCCTGCCAGTAGGATCCTGCATATATACTTCTGTCATAGGGTGACAATGCTCGCTTAGTGTCTCTCTGTGCAAGACAAGTATTGTCACCCAATGTTGTGCGCTCCTGAATTGGAAGCTGACATGCCAATGCAGTCAGGTCATAGTCATGCCCACACAATCCAGCTTCTCTGATAAGCTTCGTGCCTAGGACGTGCAAGCATGAACCCGGAAGTAGCCAAATAGAGAAAAATAGATGTTCATGCACAATGGAAAGTTTAAAAAGGTAAAAAAGAGCTTTATTTACATCTTGAGCATGTGACCGCAGTAATCCAAAATTACTATTGTCATGTGAAATGGCATACTCTGATATCACACCAGATTCAAGCATCAATAAAGTAAAAATGCACAAGCACAAATCAAATCTAGATACTAGAGTGTTTTATTTACATCTTGAGTACAGGAGAATGGTCATTTTGGATTGCTGTGATCATATGTTCAGGATATGCGTGGATTGTTTTCATTATTGATGCTTGAATCTGGTATGCTCTCTGAGTATGGCCACTACTGGAGTGGAGGTGGATTGGGCTCCTCAGGCAGCAGATACTTGTTATCAATTGGTCTGTTATGTGTCAAACAGCAGTGACATACAGTTAAGCTGGCCAAACACTAGTAGATTTCTAGATTGAACATTTGTATGAAAGATCTTTCTTTACCACCCGATAATTGCATCAGACAGTTGACGAATGTCAATCAAAATTTCGTTTGGCTCTAACATTCGATTTTGGAATGTTGTATTGTATTCAGTGTTAGAATTTTGTTTGTTCAAGAAAAAATGTCCATCCTGCTCCAAGTTTTTCCATTACTGCAATTGGGATCGATCGCCGATTTGACCCCATCAGGTAATAGAAAGTCAAAAGAAAAAACTTTCATATGAAAGCTCTTTTGATCTAAGCAGTATATGGCCAGCTTTATCAAAGGGAGTGTGTTACTAGGCAATCTGCATTGACATGGAAGCCACTTCTGTGAACAAGTGACTTTGCCCCCATGATCGCAGCTCCTGCCATCCAGTGGTCTACAGGCTGCATGCCCTGACAGCCAGACTGCTGAGAAAAGGGGCTGAATGTCATCCATCCTGGAAGTCAATTAATGCCCATAGACTGTAATGAGACATTGGGAGGAGACGAAGAGCATCCCAGAGATCAGCTTTAGGCATTCGTGTATGTAGTGTTGGTACTGCCTTATTGGATTCATAGAACGCTTTAGAGTCTCTTCATACAAAATATGAAGCAGGCAGAGCTTGGATGGGCTGTTGAAATCTGTACGTAAAACTGATCATTTTGTGGTTGTGTATATGTTGGATTTTTTTCCGGTCCAAAAGTTGGTTTATAGAATCATTCATCTGCATCTTATATTTCATTATTGCAACTGAAGAGAGACTGTTTTGGGTTGTCACTGCCTGAGTTCTTGAGAGATAACAGTACAGCAAATGATCACCCCAACCCCTTCCTCCTAAAATTCAAATGTAATTTTATGCCTATTTACTTATCTGTTAGTTTTGAAATATTGTATTAGTTTGGTTGAAGAAATTCTGAAGATCGCTCCTGGAGAAATACTTCTCTATAGGCAACTTTCCATTCTTGTTTTTTCAGTGACTTGAAAAGAGGTGAATTATGTACTAAACACCCTGTTTCAATAGGGGTATATTTTTCTGCTCTTATATTTTGTTTTTAACAATACATTTTCTTCTTCTTTTTAGTGGCCATTTAAAAAAAAAAAGTGGAATTTATCTATAGAACAATGATTTATCTAGATCAGGGATGTCCAAACTGCGGCACTCCAGCTGTGGTTGAACTACGAATCCCAAGATTCTCACAGCCACAGATATGACTCCCTGAGAGAGATGCTCCATGGGATTTGTAGTGTCACCACAGCTGGAGGGCCGCAGTTTGGACATCCCTGATCTAGATGATTTCCCAATTTCATTAAGTGTGATCTAAATAAAGGTAAACTGTCAGAATTGAAAATGAAAGCTTGGTGAGTACAGGTACCAAATACCTACCCAGTACTTCAGGTTTTTATCCTCCAGCCATTGCTGTATTGTGTCGGTCATCACACTCCCTTTTTTAATTTCAAAAGCACCTGCAGTATGGCAGGAAAGAAGTGAAGTATTTGTTATCACAAGAGTGCTATTTGTAGCCTCTTGGTCAATTACTATGGCAATGGACATTGGATGAAAAGAGAGAGAGACTGAAGAATGTTTGTTTGAGTCAGGTCAGGAGCCCCAGAGAGCAGTAAAAACAGTTCTATTCATTCCCCGTTCCATTTAAAACAAGAAAACCCGTGCACCTCTCTAAAACTGATTTCCCCTTGTTACTAAGAGGCTGAGTTTGATCATTGGAGCTACGGTATGTCCCACCCACCTGCCATCCACTGTCCAATAAGAGTGCATCGGTGCCACTATTGCACTTGCATTTAGCCGAGAGAGGAATGATGGGGGCTTGTTCTGGGAGTCAAACTTTCATAACAAAGTGAAGCTACTGTTAGTTGGGTGTACTTTGTATGGTTATCTAGCTAACAAATTTAATAGTAGGCCCATTTTTGATTCTTCTATTGGAACTTTTACTGTCGAAGGTTATAGTGTATCTATAGCCAAAACCTGTTTTTTTTTTTTATTTTTTTTTTTATTTTTAGACAAGGGTATTCCTCTCTTACCAGATCTGGTCTGGAAAATGGTGTGAACCTGCAGTCACTATGAATTGCATTTTTCTGTTGCACTAGTTTTCCTCATCAAAATGATACACGTATTAGAACACAGTTTGTGGAGTAAATAGAAGAATAGACTTAGAGGAAGAACCCATGAGGAAAATAAACGGGGTCTACCTAAGGTAAGCTTAGGGAACTGGTCGAAAACCAGATACATTGACAATATGTTCCAAAGCTTTCAGAGACTCTGTCATTGATTTTTATTACAGGTTTGTTACTCTACTCGTATTTAGTCAGTCATTTTTGATAGGCAGTGTCCACCTATCCCAAATAAAAATAGCATTTTTCTTTTCCTTTTTTTTTTTTGTTTCTTGTGCCAGCATTCCCAAATGTGTTTAACCAATAAGATTTCTAATTAGTTAAGTGTGATGTTGGAAAGATGACTTCGAACTTGTTGTTGTGGATTACTGCTCTACAGGCTAAGTAAAAAAAAATGGTGGCTTCAGCAGCAGGATTATATGTTTTTTGGGTAGCCATGTATAAACCCAGTATCTAGGTGTGTGCGTTTTGTTTTTGTTTTTTTGAAACAATATTATGTACAACATAAACTGCCCAAACAGGTTTTTAATCATGACATAGGATGTATTATGAATGTGATCATTTGCTTGCCACAAATTTAGGAAAAGTCAATGGTAAAACAGCAGATGTTCAAATAATTCACATTAAAGGGGGAAATAAAGTATAAGTGACACATGAAGAAGCATGTGCTTGCGCAAGCAGAGTAACATCTGCTTACGGATTGTCCTCTAAAAGGGGCGATAGACATAGTTTTTGTGTTTTTTTTTTTTTTGTCCGCTTCTGATGCTACACCACTTCAGTTTTTCGCTTCTTCATGCTGCTCATTAGAGCTCTGACTGGGTTTGGCTCGTTCTCTAGGTCTTTTACTGTCTTGTGTTTGGCACAACAACAGCAGTCCAGCATTTCGTAGAGGAAAGCCAGCAGAACCAGAGATAGCACAGTCAGGATAAACAAGACCAGGATTACAAAACAGGCAGTGTTCCAGCCATCATGGAACGGGTAGATCTTCTGAACCTGGAATCCAACCTGCTGCAAGATCAAGGTTGTCTCATTCTTCCAGGAACCAGCAGATGACATCTTGGTGCAGGCTCCCCAGAGAACAACTGCGAGGAAAAAAAAAAAAAAATTTCCATGTAACACAATTTTTTTTCTTTCTTTTTTTTAACTGACATTTGGGTTAAATATGACCAAAGTCGTCTTTACTGTTTTTGCTTGGTTACGAACCTTAAGTAATGTGCAGCTACTTTGAAATAAGTAATATCCACACCAATGCGTTTTTTGTTTTTAATAAAAAAAATCTAGTTTTAATACAGGGGATGTTAATAAAAAACATGTAGGGATGTGTTTAAAGCAACTTTTTTTTTTTTTTTAATGATTTACTTTTTCAACTCCAACTTCAGTGCCATGCTCAAAGTAGTATGTACTGATAGACACAGGCATCAGGCAAAAGTGCACATAAAGTAGGTGCATATGTGCATAAATACCAAGCATTTTGTGAGACCATACAAATGGCAGCAACTGTAAACCCGATGATCTTCTAAAAGGGTATATCAGTAGTCCTAGCAGTTTAAGTTTCTCCACATGGCTAGTCAACTTGCCTCTAACTAAGGTTCCATAAAGTCATCTACTGGTATCGCATATATAGCCTATATTGTCATAAATCACATATATTAAACAAGGACCAACCACATAAAGTGGATCTGTACTTTGTCTATACTAGGAAAATAAACATTTGCTGTATAGGATGGACTAAACGGACTCATGCTTACCTTTCTAATGTTTCTCTACAGTCCCAATCACCTGAGAAATACCCAGGTATGATGGAAAATGTGACACTGTCCTTGCCACCTACAATTTAGGGAAATAAATGTTTGCTGAACAGGAGGGGACACGAGCCACCTGTGCTAACATTCCATTTGCTCCCCTTGTACCCCAGTTACCGTCTAGACCTGGAATTTATGGGTATGATGGAATGCTTAGTGCTGCTCGTGCCTCCTCACAATTTGTTACTTAGTGCCTGAGTACTGTGGCAGGTTAGAGCCAGCATATACTTGTACACGTTTCTAAATTTACACAGGGATTTTAGGCAGTTTTTGAAGCAGGTTAGGGCAGCAGGTGAGAACACAGAATGTAACTACTGAATACCTTTTGGCTTCTCCTGTAAAGGGAATCTGTTATTTTACCTAATATGGCTAGAGAACGGGTTCATTGTCAATTGCTGTTGGTTTTGAGCTCAGCTGAAGTAGGAAAATGTGAAAGTTCAGCTCTTCATGGCAGTGAGGTATGAACAAAAACTACAGCAATCTTGGCAAAAATTCCCAGTGAACAGAATGAATGACTACCAGACCCAGATAAATAAAGCTCTATTGTGTTGATTGCAGCAGCCAATTAACATGCTATTTCTGCACTTGAATATGTGCCCAGTTCTCTGTGAAATGAATTGTAGAGAACTCTACATATTTAGAGTGGTTTGTATTTCATAATAGACATAATAAAAATACATAATTCAAGGGTCATAATGAATAACAGCAAAATCCTGAGTGATACTGTGCTGGATGGACCAGCACAGTGGCTAGTGTCCTGGGTTTGAGTGTTAAAGTCAAACTAAACTTATCAAGTGTACACAGTAGGGATGCACCGATAGTATCAGTGTCGATGCCGAGTATTTGGGCGAGTACTCGTACTCGCCCAAATGCTCCGATACCTAGCCTGATACTTGAGCTTCCGGTATCAGGAAGCCGGGTAGCGAGTCATTACAGGCTGCCCGGCTTCCTGATTTGGCTGGGAAGCCGGCTCCATGCTCCCTCGTCACTTGTGACGAGGGAGCATGGAGCCGACTTTCCGGCCAATCAGGAAGCCGGGCAGCATGTAATGATTCGCTACCCGGCTTCCTGGTTGGTCGGGAAGCTGGCCAGTCAGGAACCTGGGCGCAGCATCATCAGCTTTCTGATTGGCTGGGAAGCTGGCTTTTTATGCTCCCACGTGACGAGAGAGCATGGAGATGGTATCCCTGCTAATCGGGAAGCCGGGTGGTGGGTCTTTACACCCCTTCCGGCTTATCGGGAAGCCACCTGGCTTCCTTTTAATGAGACTTCCGGTATCGGCGTTCGGTATCGTCGAATACCGAAAAAAAAATTATTGGTACTCGATACCGAAAAACCGGTATCTGTGCATCCCTAGTACACAGCATAGGTAAACATTATGGCACCCTTACCTACCAAAGCACCCGCCCTCCAGCGATGCGCGCTCCACAATCTTCCTTGTCGCCTCATCGCGGCCACTGACCTCTTCGTCTGATATTATTCTGGATTAGGCATCTTCTACTATTTTTTTATTTGCTAGCCTAGGATGATTTAATTCCCTCTTTTAGAGAAGTTAGTTCATCCTAGCACCCAAGACATCCCGAGATAATACACTGAGCTGCGCATGCGTGACTCATTGTACTTTTATTAGACAATTGCTAGCAAGCAAGGCAGAAGCTTTTATGGCAGACAAGACATATTTTGCCTTAAATAGGTACGTGGAGTTTATACCCTTGTTTGTGCGGGCTTCCTCCAGGTGACCTGGTTTTGTATTTGTACACAAAAACATACTGGTATAGGATAAGTTGGACTTAACTGGACCTAGCTTAAGATTTCTTTATTTCTTCTCCAAAGAAAGGTCTGGTTGTCTATTTCTGTATGTTGTCATGAAAACATAGTAGATTATTGCAGAAAGAAAACTCTCCAAAGACTTGCCCTGAGATGACATTGAGACCATGACATTAGCTAGACTGCATGTTCATATTGCATAACTGTAAAATGAGACTGAGCAGGCAAAGGAAAACCTAAATTACTAGTACACCCAGTTCACACACAAAAAAAAAACCCATGATTCCATTTTCCAGAAGTTATTAAACTGGGATGAAGTATATTTACTGTTCCTGTAAATGTAGGTATGTCAGTAGTCTAACTTCTAAAGGTGCTACAGCTTTGAGAATGTCGGGGATTTTCAGTTTGCCTTTATAATAAAGGGAATGTAAATATATAAAAGAAAATGCATCTAGTACAACAAAATCTGCTATACAATAGCACTTAGACTGGTGAGGGAGGGGCAATACTAGGAGCCAATCTGATGTGCTGGCAAGGAACATGCTTAAAGGAGGTGGCAGCAATTTTAGCAGAGGGATGAATATCTGCTGCTTCTGCTATGCCTATTACAGGGTGAAGGCGGGGAGATTCCTTAGCTGTCATGCTGATGCTTTGGCTTCAGTGCTTTCTGAGTCACTGATGCACACCAAGTATAAGTTCAAAAATCCTGACTTGCCGCTGACCTCCCATTTGCTGCATACTTGTTGGTCAATGACGCTGAACTAAAGGCAAATGCAGCCAAGCCATCTACCATTTTCATGAGCCAGCAATGACACCCTACTTATTTGTGTTATGACTGGTGTACTTTAAATTCTTAAAACAACTTGTCCTGCAGGTAATAGGGGTAAAACGGATTATTGTTTTGGGGACCTTTTGTTTGCATCACTAAATTACCTTTGTCTCAATTCAGAATATGATTATGTACACATAAACTGCTATTACTGTGCTCTCTTGACTATTCAGTAGCAACTAGCTTTCAGTTCAGTCTTAATCAAGCTCTTTATCCTTAATGTATGCATGCATTGAGTAGGTTTTTATGACGTTTTAAAAAAAATACTGTTGCACATCATTTTATTTTCCTGCTAATAAAGGAATTTGTGCTTGACAGCAATGTCTTGCTGAACATTATGTATTTGAACTTCACTTCATCCTTTGAGATAGATTGCAAAGCCTTAATAATTCATTGGTAATGACTATGTTCTTACACTGCAGTATATTTGACAGCACCTGAGCTACTAGCTTTTTGTTTTTCTAACTGCAGGTTCTCTAAGGCTTTGATACATGCTGTTGTGTTTTCATCTTTCACTGCTTTTTAGATCTTATTGTAGGGCAACATTAATAGGGCTGTTATCTTAATTCAGAACCCCAGCACTGAAGTTACTGAAAGAACATTTATGAATGGTGTTTTTTTACATAAAGATAAACACAAGAATTGGATGATTGATTTTCAAATTGCCTTGACATAAAATTTGCATGAGACTAGTACTAGAAGACTGTAGTAATGCACTTTTAGACTTAACATGTTCAGTCCCAGACAAACCACAAGACATCAATTAACCAAATGACATTAACCACTTGAAGACCAGGTGTTACACCCCCTTCCTGTCCAGGCCATTTTTCAGTATTCAGCGCTGCGGTACTTTGACTGACGTTTATTCCGTCATGCAACGCTGTACTGAAACGAATTTCATACCATTTTTTGGGGGGACAGATAGACCTTTTTTTTTTTTGGTGGTATTTAATCACCACTACAGGTTGTTTTTTTTTTTACTATATATAACAAAAAAAGTACCCTATATTTTGTATGACGCAGAGATCTGCTTCATCAGCTTCTCTCCGGTGTTCCGCACCGGAGAGTGACACTGAATGCAGGAAGTGATGTGATATACATCACTTCCTGCATTCGGGGACAGGAAAAGAGATCAAAGGGAGATCGTGCCGGTACCAGCCGCACCGGCCACAGAGGATCAGGGGATCGGCGGCGACGAGACGGCGGGGCAGGTCGTCTCTAGAAATGTCTTATAGCTTGTATGTAAACGGCCATCGCTGGCTGTTTTACATGCTCACAGTTTTCCCTCTCGTGTGCGGCGCTCAGCCTCCCGCTCCTAGCAGACTCCCGTCCGGCCATTCACATACGGCCATGGACGGAAGGTGGTTAAAAAACAAACAAAAAAGATTCCATTACAGCTTAAGGGCGGACCATATCCATACCAAAACAGTTTGTTCCCGGACCAAAAAAGCATCCCAGTGTATCCCTATGGTATTTTTGGGCTCTGTTCACACCAGTGCAGTCCGTTCCGCTCCAGACAAAAAAAAAAAATGCTGCTTGTCTCATTTTCTCTGGATGGAAACGCATCAAAAAAGCATACAAACACACTAGACTGCACCTAAACACCCCATTTTAAGCTAAAAGACCTGTGGTAAAAATGCACTGCATTTGCAGATCTGCTCCAGATCTGGTCTGGAAATGGTGT